CGGGCGGGAGGTGTGTCCGGCGGGGGAGGGACCGGGCGCGGCGCGGGGGGGGTGTGCTCCACCTCCCGGGGTTTAAAGCCCCGGGCCGGGCGGCGGCGAGCCTGTCCCGGAGAAAGTTGTGCCCGAGTTACCGCCGGTTCGGACGGATACCGGCACCGAGACTGACACCGGGAGGAGCGCAGGGAGCCGGGGCACCTGGGAGCCGCCTGTCCCGGCCCCGCTGCCCTCGGTGCCGCAGATGACCCTGAACACGCAACGCGGGAGCAAGAGCCCGCTGCGGAGGAGGGCCAGCACCCCTCTCCCGCGGCCGGGGGTACCGGGTGTCACGTCGCGGGGGGAGGCTTGTCACCCCCAGCTCGGTCACTCCGCGTCCGAACCGGGCGGCAGAGCTGCGGCACCCCGGGGCAGTTGGTCTTCCGACTCTTCGGGTTCCTCCGGCTCCTGGGAGCCCCTGTACCGCGTGGTGCTGCTGGGTGACTCCGGTGTGGGCAAGACCAGCCTGGTCAACCTCTTCGCTGGTGTCCAGGAGCGGGACCTGCTGGAGCAGCACGGAGGTGGGTGCCCGGTGGGAGGCTGGTCGGGGCCCCTCTGCGGCAGGGTCACCCACCGTGGGACCCGGAGGAGGTGGCGGGGGTGCACGGCCCCGTGACGGGAAAAATCCGTGTGCGAGGCGGAGAGGAGCCCGGTGCCAGGACTGGGTCTCAGCTGCCCGGGCGGTGCCGTGCCAACTGGGTTCTCCTGGCATCTTGCAGAGGCCTCGTACGAACGCACGCTGTCCGTGGATGGCGAGGAGACCACGCTGCTGGTGATGGACACCTGGGAGCCAGAGCAGCGGGTATGGCAGGGTCGGGGCTGGGTGCTGCGGGGAGCCTGTGCTGCTGGCAGGGCCGGGTGTGCTGGGACGTGCCCGGGGGGCATTGTATGGGCACAGCTGCTGCTTAGGAGCCTCTGAGCTCCATGAAGCTTCCTGGGGCTTTCCCTGCCGCGTCCAGGGTTTGCCACTGCCCTCACCGCGGAGCAGGACATGCACTGGGCAAGAGAGGGGCTGGGGGTCATGTCTCTGGCTGGCTCTTTGCCCACCTTTCACCAGCGTGGGAGGTTGCCCACCGTGTTCTCACCGGTGGGGGCTCTCGTGGTGAGGCACCGCAAGCACAGGGTGTCCCTTGTACGAGGGCTGGTCAGGCTGGGTGGGAAGAAGGGTCTGTGGGGAAGGAGGGTGGTGCCAGCCTGCTTCGAAATGTGTGGAAATGGTTTGGGAATGGGGCTGAAGGAGCCGACTGGGCAAATCCACATGAGACGGTGCCACCAGCCAGGACACATGTTTTCATAAGGCAGAGCTGTGGCCCCGAGAGCCTGGCACAGGGCATTCCTTCCGCTCAGCGCACAGAGGCATCTCCTGGGCAGAAATGCCAGCGCCGCTGTCACAGCCTCCCTTGAAACCCCCCTTTGCCTCCCTCCATGCCAGGGCTGGCGTTCCTGCGGGTGCCACCAGGCAGCGACCGAACCCCTGGAGCGGGGATGGAGCCGGTTCCCAGGCTGCGAATGCGGGCACGGCACTCACGTGGGTTGGGGCTGCATTTTGCACGTTCAGCTGCGCTCTCTGGAGATGCCCCAGCACCATAACGCTCCGACAACGGCCCTTTATTTCCACTATTGCCTAATCCCACCCTGCCCAGCAGGGACCAGTGCCTGGTTCACGCAGGGCCCTACACCCACGACACCGGTGTTGTGTGGCCAAGGGCAGCTCCAGGAGGTGCAGCCTCAGCCCCCCCACGAGCCAAGCTGAGCCCACAGCCTGAATTTGTTGCTGATAGAGGAGGAAACTCTCAAACACCCCACAAAATCAGGAGCTTTTAATGTGCATTTTATTAATGGGGCCACATGTCTGTTCCCCAAGATGCTGAGGGTGGTGGGGAGTGCTGGCAGGTCCCATCGGTGCTGGGGTGCTCCGCTGTCCCCCAGCAGCGGTCAGGGCTGCCAGCAGCCCCTGCAGAGCAGTGATATCGCATTCCCCATGCGGTGGCAGGGTGAGGAGAGCTGTCGTCGCAGCCAGTGCCTGCAGGTGGGGAACGCCTACGTCATCGTCTACTCCATCACCGACCGGGGCAGCTTTGAGAGCGCCTCGGAGCTGCGCATCCAGCTGCGTCGCGCGCGGCAGGCCGAGGACATCCCCATCATCCTGGTGGGGAACAAAACCGACCTGGTGCGGTGTCGTGAGGTCTCCGTTGAAGGTGAGTGGGAGGGTCTGGCTGGTGGGGACCACCGGGGAGGGCCCTCCACCCAGGCTCCCTACCCAGCTGCTTCCCCTGTGTCTGTCCCCTTCTCTCTGGACGTTCAGCTGCTGCCCCACATGCAGCAGCACCCATTCCCCAGTGCCCAGGGTACCAGCGGGGCCGTGCCCCCTCCCTGCCTTTCCCTTGCAGAGGGCCGTGCCTGCGCCGTGGTGTTCGACTGCAAGTTCATCGAGACGTCGGCAGCTCTGCAGCACAACGTGGCCGAGCTCTTCGAAGGGGTAGTGCGGCAGATCCGCCTGCGCCGCGGGGGCAAGGAGGCCCGCGCGCGCCCCTTGCCCGGCCAGAAACGCAAGGAGAGCCTCACCAAGAGAGCCCGGCGCTTCCTCGACAGGCTGGTGGCCAGAAACAGCAGCAAAGGGGCCCTCAAGGTCCGCTCCAAGTCCTGCCACGACCTGTCCGTGCTCTGAGAGCTGCCACCTTCCCGTCCCTCCGCACACGCAGGCTGGGACTCTCCTCTCTCTGCCAGCAGCGTGGCCGGTGGCTCCGCAAAAAGCCCAGACAGGTCCGGAGCGATGCTGAGGACGTGGAGCTGTTTTAACCAGTGCTGAGGGATGCCCGGGGTGCTCTGGATCCGGCCGGTTCCCCTCCAGGAGGGGGGACGAGTGGAGCCGGGTCCCCTGGGCTGCAGAGGGTGGGATGGGCACCTGCGCTTGGGGTGGTGGGATCCTGGATTACAGATGCTCCTGGGGAGCTGGAGGTGAGGGGTGGTCGTGCCCTGGTGCAGGGCTGCCTGCAGGGCTGGAGGCTGCCGAGAGTGTGGCAGGTCCTGCTTGTGGTGCCCGTCCTTTGCAGGGCAGCAGGGACCAGCGAGGGCACCATAGCGGTGTCCACCTCGAGGACATCCTGGAGCCTGGCCGGGGAGAGGGGCTGGGGGAGCACCGGCAGCATCGCCTGGCACCCCCGGCCCCTCTGTGCCAGGGCTTTGTGCCATGTCTCCCTGGCACCAGTGTTTCTTGGACTGAGGTTTTTCTGCTATCACTGTACCGGTGCAATGGGGAAAACCCTCGATCCGCAGAATAAACCACATCAGGGAGGTTGCTGGTCTCTGCTGGGTCCCTGCCATGGGCAGCCGCATCCCGGAGCCGCGTGGCCGGATTCAAGCCCAGTTCCTTGCCGGCGGCTGGGGCAGAGGACCTGCCTCCTGCTCCAGCCAGGCCTCGGCAGGCTCCATCTTCACCAGCTGAAACCTCTCGGGGCAGGGAAAGCCTCCATCCAGGGCTTCCTTTGGCCGCCTTTGCTGGAAATCCTGATTCCTCACCCAGTGGTCGCAGCATCATCCCCTGTGATGGCAGAAACCCCCAGGCCCCCCCCCCGCACCTCCCGGGTCCCGGTTGGCTCTGAAAAAGCCTCTGGGAATGGCTGAGCTCCGCTGAGGTGCAGGTTTCAAGCCCCTGAGCACCGTGGGAGCCGCAGTCTGGGCACTCAGTGGCTCCTGGTGCCCTGGGCAGGGGCAGGGAGGCAGGAGCCGACCAGCGTGGCACCAGCCGCAGCGCGGTACAGCCGGGAAGGGACGTGCTTGGCTGCAGCAAGCAGCGAGTGACCCCGGGCACCCGGGGAGGCGATGCTGGAGCCGCGTGGGCTCTGCCGGTTGTTTTTAGGCTGTGCTGCCGGCGATCAGCCGGGACGCCGTGGGGTAGCCTGCTCAGCGGGCCCAGCGCCAGGGAGGATCGGCGGTGCCCTCCCTGCCCGGGTCAGGTCGAGAGTTTCCACTCGCTCTGTGGCTCGAGCGTGGGGAGCCGCTGGCCGTGGCCGGCACGGCGCAGGCCAGAGAGGGGGGTCACCGGCGCAAAGGGGACATGGAGGTGGGGCAGCACCCTGTCCCTGTGGGAAAACTGTCTCTCTGCAGGTGCAAACCCCAGCGAGGGCTTCTCCCTGCCAGCTCTGTCCCCAGGACCAGGGAAGCCCGCTCAAGCTTTTCTCCGTTGGTGACCGAGGCATCGCTGCTCTCTCCTTGCTGCTGTTCCGGCTCCGGCTATTCTGCTGGGGCCCTGCCCTGGAGCTCCCCACACCCCGGTTCCTGGTGCTGCTGGATGCAATGCTGTGGTTCACACAGCATCAATCACACCGGGGTCGGGGGCTGCACACCAGGGACAGGGGCTCCTTGCTGCTGCGGGTCCCTCCCACAGCTGCAGCCGGCGTTTCCCTGCGGCAGGAGGCGGAGCGGGGGGGCACGGGATGGAAAGTTGGCAGCTGGCAGTGAGGGGAGTGGAAAGAATGAGCTCAAACCCAGAAAAATGCGGCCGCGCTGGAGGGTGGGAGGAGAGGCCAAGGGGGGCCACGGCGAGGCGCTGGGAAACGAAGGGAGGAAGGAAGGCGGAGGCGCTGGCGGGGGGCCAGGGGCTGCCTGCGGCCCCCAGCTGGGTCCACACCTGGGGCAGGTAGTGCGGGGGCTTGGCGGCCCCTCCAGCAAGTGCTCTCGGGGCCGTCCCAGTGCCATCCATCCCTGGTTGGCCACCGGCCCCAGTGCAACCTCCACCAGTCCCACCTGCTCCCGGCGCTATTTGCCCCCACGCCATTCCCCCCGGTGCCATCAGCACCGGTGCCATCGGTCCCGGTGTGCGCCGCTCTGCTCACCGCCTCCCTGGGACAAGGGACCCCGCTGGCTCCCGGCTGGCACGTGGCCGCGCTGGGATGCCAGCCCCGCGGGCTGCCCTGGCTCTCCCTGTGCGTGGGCCCTGCTCGAATGGGCTGCGGAGACACGACTATTTTTTGCTCGATTTCCTCAGTCCGTGGCACAAGGACATCCCTGCTGCCGTCGGCAAAACCTGCTCCCACCCGGCAGACAGCGCTGCACAGAGCCTGCGAGTGTTGGCCACGGGCAGGATGAGCCCTCAGTCCCGGCAGGACGGCGATGGCTGGGGGCTGGTTTGGGTTCTGGTTTAACAACCCACCGAAAAACTCATTCCCCCGCCAGCCTTCACTTCCCCCCGGCCCTGGCTCAGGATGATGGTCCCACCCCGGTTAACCCGAGTTTGGTGCAAAAATTGCTGAGTCGGACACCTGGACTCCCTGCCCTGCCCGTGGCAGCACCCAGGGCCCCTCTGCTCCCACCTGCCCACCGAGGCAGCATTGGGGCGGGGCGGGGGTGGGGTGCAGGTTCCTGCTCCCTGGGGGCATGGTGGAAAGCAAACGGAGCTGCTGGTCTTGCTCCTCGGGCAGAAACCAAAATCAAAGGAGAAACTTTGGGAGGGATTCCTGGAGAGGGACTTTGCAGCCCCCACCCAGGGCAGCTTTCTTTGGCGGGGGGTCGCATCTCAGAGCCCAAAACAGGGCTGGAGTGCTGCAGGGCTGCGACGCAGGGGGCTGAGCAGCGGGGGCAAGGCAGGGAGGGGAAGCATCACGCTTTGTCCACGGTTCCCAAGCCAAGCTGGGGTTTAGGGGATGGGTGAGCACCCGAAGGAGTCCATAAGGGGCTGGGTGAGGGGGTCAGTAGCTGCGCCGGGCTGTGCTGGACCATGGCAGGCGGCAGGGTGGGAAGCAGCAGGGAGTGCATGGGCACGCTGCCTGCGTGGCTGCCTGCTGCTGCCTGCTGCTGCCCTTGGTGCCCGTTCTTCTCCTTTGTGGGAGAATTAGTGGCAGGGAGAGGACAGCGTCCCAGGCAGGAGGCCAGCCCCGCAGAGAGGGGCTCCCGGGAGGCCTTTTCCATCTGCCCTCTGCCTGAAACGCAAAACTATGAATCACACCCGGTCCTGAAATAGATTCCTTTTTTTTTTTTTAAAAAAAAAAAGAGGAAAACATTTTTTAAAAAAAAATTAAAACTTGCTTTTTAATCCCTGCTGCGCTCCCTTCTCTTGCCTGTGCCTCAGATCTAAACTGGGGGCAGCACCATTCAACTTTGCCCAATCTTTATCTTCACTGGTGTCTTTGCTTCCCAGCAGACTCCTGCCCCGGCAAGGAAAAGGGGGACGCGCAGGAGGAGGAGAAGGCTCGGTGGCACAGCCAGGCTGCCAGCGGCTTGGGAGGGGAGGGAATATTTGTGAGGAAAACACATGTTTCAGCCAATTTTCCAGCAGAGTCCTGGCCCCAGTCCAGCGGCAGGGAGAATTTGCTGCCATTTATGAGGCATTTTTGCAGAAGGGCTGTTCAACGAGTGCGGCCACGGGTGGGCTGGGGGAGGTCACGGGGGAGGCCTGGCAGCACAGTGGGGGGGTCCTCGGGAAACGGTGAAGGGCAGGAAAACCCAGGGCTGGATGGAGGAGCAGCTCGGGATCTCGCTTGGGCTGACGGTGGCCAAAGCCGCCACCTTCTCGCTTGTGGCCTTGGTGGCTGGGGGCTACGGAGAGCTGTGGGCCTCCCACCCCCCCACCCGCAGGGACCGCCCAGGAGACCTCACCCGCCCCTCACACTGCAGGGTCTGGGCAGGGAGGGACAAGCCTGCGTTCCCAACCCGGCAGCCACGATATCAGCATGAGAGTTTTGGGAGATGGGATAAACAACCATCGGCCGGGATAATCCCGGGCTGAACACAAGCAGGGCGCAGGGGAACCACCGGCACTGCTCTGTCCCACCGGCCTCCGGCTGCCCTCACGGCTCCCGGTCCACCGAGGCACGGGAGGGCTGGGGGGTGAGCACGGTCTGACCGCACCGGGGCCTTCCACCACCGCCGGGCTCTGTTGCGGTGGGACGGCAGGGGGAGACCAGCCTGGAGACCGGCCCCCAGTGGGGTAACGGGTCCCCGGGCCGAGCCCATGGCCGGTTCTGGGGGATGCAGAGCCCGGGTGGGGGGGACGACACACACACACACACACACGGGAGGAGCGGCGGGGCCCGGCCGGGATCGGGCCCGGCCGGGATCGGGCCCGGCGGCGCTCAGGCCCCGCCCTCCCCGGCTGTCGGTCTCCTAGCAACAGCGAGCCGTGTTGCCGGGGGGTGGGCGTGGCTTTAACGCCGGCGGCGTCGGTCGACGCTTTTGACGCGACTTCCGGTCGGTAAAGAGGACGTGTCCCTGGCGCGCGCGGGCCGGAAGCGGACCGCCATGGAGGAGGCCGCGGCGCACAACGGCAGCGCCGCCGGGACCGGGGCCGGGACGGGGGTCGGGTCCGGGTCCCCCGCGGCCGCCCGGCCGCCCGCTACCCCCGAGGGTATGGCGTTGGCTTACGGCAGCCTCGTCCTCATGGCGCTGCTGCCCATCTTCTTCGGGGCGCTGCGCTCCGTCAGCTGCGCCAAGAGCAAGGTACCCCCGCGGCTCCGGGGTAGGCCGGACACCCCCCC